AAAAATAAAAACATGCTTCTTCCTGAGTAATTAGTTGCTCTTTGCCACCAACAAACTGTAATTTTTATTCCTTTTACACAAGACCATTTATTAGGAGAGAGAGAGCTAGCAAGCATTTATGCTTTTGTGTTTATACTGCAAAAAAAAAAAAATACATAGCATCGAAAACCTGCTCTGAGAATTCTGAATGCTGTTATATTTTAAAATCCACATTAATTATAGATCCACTTATTCTTAGAAAAGACAGGAATTGCAACAGGGTGTTCTTTTGGGGGAGTGGATTCATGTATAAATTGCCTCCCAAGGACCCCAATGAAATTTCCATACATTCACCACATGACACTGATGTGTGAAAATTGACATGAAGATTTGAAAATTGGGACAGAGGGAGGCCAAGCATAAAATAGCTTCAATTTTGTGCTCTCTCTGGCTCTCAGAGGAATAGTGCATAGGACTGACCAACACAGCACAAACAAGCGAAAGGGGAAAAAAAATTCAGGGAGAAGGATAGGAGTTATTAAGGAGAAAACACACTTCTCACTCATGGAGAGAAAGGATGATCAATGGAGTTAGTCACAGAGAAATTCAAGCAGAAAATTGCTGCTGTTTTTTATCTGAACAGCAGAAAGTTTAACAGAACCAGAATTTCCAGACTGAGCTTGGCATCTACAAGTATCTGTGAGCAAAGAGGTGGGAGAGAGGTCTCTGAACCTGCAGGGGGTGGCCAGGTCCTCTCAGATCAAGTGCAGAGGAGGTACTTGGCCTCTGAATTGCCCTCCTCAAAGACAGTCAAAAGTAGTATTGCAGTTCGCAAAATTAGTGAGTGATCTGCTTGGTTCCAACGTCTGCTCTCATATAAAAGTAATAACCCAAATGGTAGCCAAAAGGAATTTGAAGATGATACACAATCCGCAGACAGCTTTTTACAAGTGGTGACAAATGTAAACACACTCCTGACAACACGGCAGGCACCTGCAATTCTTCTTGCTGAAAATTCCTAAAGAGTAATTTGTATCTCTCTTTCAGTAAATATGCTTTGGAAGCTTGAGGAAAACAAAGCCTTTAGTTACCCAAAGTGTTGACTCTCCTTGGGATTCAGATCCCAGTTAGCCCAACTGCATAGTTTAGAGTACAACGTAGTTGCTTTCCATTGGATGCCTCATGGTGACCAAGAGCAGAACTTGCAAACCTGAAGGAACCAACTTGGCTACATGGGAACACGACCTTCTCTCATTCTGAGACAGAAAGGAAGGAAAATGCTAAAGCCAAGTGGAAATGCGCTTGGGAGCAAAACAGTTCTAAGGAGAATCTTAGAAATTGACAGTTGTATGATTTCAGGCAGGTGACTTAATTTCTCTAAAGCTCAGCTTTTTCCAACTGAAAAAATGAAAAAGTAACTACAAAAATCTATTTTACAATCACTGAGAAGAATAAATTAGATACACAGAGCCTGTGTGCTCCACTAAGCGCAGAGTAAATATAAGCCAACAGTGTTTTATTTTAGCATAACCCTGTGAACTGCTCCCCATTGCTCATACAAGCAAACCCACAAAAACCCTTAAATCAGCTTGGTGTTTCAAACCTGGCATAATGTTTTTACAATCAGTTTTCACCTGATCCTTGAATGAGACTTCAAAAAGTTTCTGGACAAATGGAATGGAAAGTATGAGTTTATTTTGATTACAAAAATGTCTTTGAAATGAAAAAAAAAATGTTTTATGTTATATGGAAAATGTATATTGTGAGAAAAGCTACCTGGCTTTTAAGTTTCTTTTTATACCAGTGTCAACTTGCTCTTTGAATTCCATTCTCCATGAGCCCTTTGAGGTATTCTTGTGTTAACTAGGGCAATAGTAGCTACAGTAACAAATAAACCTCTGACAACATCCAGAGAACTTGACTTCCATGAATCCCATCACGCCTGCTCATGACGAGGCTCTTCAGGGACTCAGTCTGCTTTAGTGTGACTCTGTCTCCTTTGAGCCTTGGACATCTGTGTGTTTGGTCAGTGTTCGGAAAAACAGCTTTAGTCGTCAGGGAGGTGAGTGGTTTACTCACTGGAAGGACCCAGGGCCACATTACAATGGTTGGGGGAGTTCCTCCATGACCTCATCTTTCTCCCAGTGAACAGCTGCTTTCACTTGCCCACATGTTAGAATCCTCGGGGGCTGCTGCAGAGACATGACTGAGCAGCTTTTCCTGCTCCCCTTTCTCCTGGGCTCTGCAAACATGGTGAAAAGAGCATTGGACCTTTTCCAGGTTTGGCTGTGCAGAACGTAGAGTGGCAAAATGTCTCAGGAAGCGGCAGTGTCTCAGCACAGAAGACAAAGCTGATACCTGGGACAACGAACCCTAGGATGAGTGTCGCTTCTGATGCTGCTCCCTGCAAATACACTTGGGGAGGAAGCACTGGATGAATCAAACACTTGGACCCTGCAGCCACGTGTTGGCAGGGCCCAAGCTGGCCTCTGTGGCCATTTGGAGGAATGAATAACAGATGGAAGACCTTGCTTTCTCTCTCTCCTTCTCCACTCTCATTCTCTTTCTCTCTCTCACTGACTTTCGTGTAAATAAATAAGCACATCTTAAAAACAAAAACTTAATAATCCTAGGGAATTGCAAGTCATCATCAAGAAAGTTCAAATGTATCATCTCAGATGGCTTGAGGACCAACAAAGGGTGGTAGGTGGAGACAAAGAATCTCTCCATCATCTGTAACAGACATAGCCCCTCTTCTCACCTGGAAGCCATGGGAATAAATATTCAGTTGGCGTAGACAAAAAGGCAACAAAAGTTTATTGCTGAAGAATCTCAGTTCTTTTGCCCAAAAGACAGCTATTTTCCGTTCACCTCAAACAACTTCAGGATATTGTCCCGGGGCCCTGGGAGTATTTTGTTATTTTCTGTGTGAAATATTATATTCCCTGATGGACATGGGGAGATTGTATTACTGCCCATTGATTCCCTTAGTTGACACTGCAAGCAGAGCTGGTGAACTCAGGACTCAGGGCTGCATCCAAATGCGGAGCTGTTGCTCTGCTAGAGGATCAGGATGAGGCCGTTGCAAGCCAAGACTCCGGAGAACCTGAACGCCGTGGTGCAGCGAGGGGCAGCCACAAGTCCATCTGAGTGTGTGACAGTCCTGAAATTCTCAGTGTGATGTGCTGGTTGACATAAGAAGCTGATTTAAAAAAAAAATCCCTCAAATTCCTGCCATTTAGCAATTAGCAATCGTGAGGAACTGAATCAGGTAAGGTAGGATGAGGTCTCAGCTGGATTTGTTTCTGTTCTTCTGTGGAAACCTCCTCCAAACAGTGAAAAGAAACCAGAATGAGCTTAGAAAGAAAAGGTCTGGCACGGATTCTATTTAATTTTTCCATGACCATTAGAGTTCTGATATTTTGCTAAAGCACAGACTTTTCTAGAAAGGGACAGAAACCTGTGAGGAGAGAGGTACAGCATAGATTTCCTCCACCACGAGTCTCCCCTGGGCTCACTTACTTTTCACTTTGTGATGCGTTAGGTCTGTGATTTTCCCTCAGATGATGATCTGCAAGAGTGGCTTTTTGCATGCTCGGGATCTCATTTATTAGGAAGTGAAGTATGTAATGGTGAAAAATAGCTCAGTGGATTTCCCCTTTCTCTGGGGCGTCTGTGCTCACCATGGCTCACTGCACGCACAGTCGGCGCCTGGAAATAAATGGTAGGGAGCGGGGCCTGAGTGCGAAGGGTGAGCTCGCGCCTCCTCGATACCTGCTGGAAGCCTGCGGCAGCTCATCTCCTCCTTTTGGTACAGGGCCTGGAAACCGAAAGGATGCGGGGGTCACCGTGTTAGCGTCTGCGTCGACGCATGGGAGCCGTGCCTTCAGCCATTTGTCTTCTCGAGGGGGTGTGTGTGTGTAGTTTCGGCGCACCATGCTGGAAGCAAGACTTCTCCGCCTCCCAGGCTGTGAGATGCCTTTCCCAAATCACCTTGAGGACTTGCTGGCTGTTGAGAGGAAAATCCCTGAGTGCTATAGGGAAAGATTTAAGACTTAGTGGGAAGAGAGGACTTGGAGTTTGATCTTTTAAAAAAAGTCTTTATAAAGCCCAGTAATAATGTATGCATATGCATTTCTAGCTATGAAAAGAAACTCTCCTTTCTTGACTTAACTTCTCAAAACTGCTTGTCATTCCTTTCAGGACGGAAATACTAGAGCTGTGCCTGAGTTGACTGTGTCCTCAGCCAGGTGGTGGGGGCAGAGCAAAACTCCCACACACGGGGCAAGTCCCCTCTGGCAAGCAGCCTTCTCGAGCCTTTGGGCTACACCACTGCTATGGATCAAAAGGAATGCACGCCCACCTTGCATTTAGCTTTCCACGAGAAACCAAGAAAGAAATACTTTCCAAGAAGATCAAAGTACTTGATCACAGATAACAAAGATATTATGATACAATCAGAAAAGAAATGATAACTTTTGAGTGAAAGCCAATAAGAAATATAGAGTTTAATACCCCAACCTGCCCCTGTGTGTGCATGCAAAGCACGGCATTCCACACAGCTTGTCTCACCCAGCTTTTCTCCATGTTGTTTCTGAGTCACCTGTATTACCTTTGAGGCATCAACTTAAGGTTCCATCAGCTTAAGGTTCCGCTCTTCATGAGTGAGTCTGTCTCTGCTCAAGCTGCTCCGGTCGCATTGGCATGAGTGCACGATGCTGAGCAGATGGACTCCTCTGTGACCATACTCACATTCAGAGAGTCCAAGTTGCTTCTTGCTCTCATGTGCTGCTGTGTTATTACAGATAGTAGAAACCTAGGCGCTCCACACTTGACATATAACGGAGGAAACTAAGGGTCAAACAGGTGAAATTATTTTTTGCGATATTGTATAGATCTTGAAGTGGATGAAACTAAGTTCTGGGTCTCTATGATGCCTTATTGCTCCTGCCAAAGATGGATTCTGCCTCCTCTGCTGCTTCCAGAACCGTCCTTGTGTCTCTGAAAAGGAGATTGTGGGGCTTCCTTCCTCAGCAGTCACTTGGGGCCATGCCTGGAGGAGGCAGCAGCTCCACAGGACGCTCACTGTCAAGGACAAGGAACATGCTACACTTATGAGGAAACCTTCTGAATGCTCAAGGCTCCAGAGGTTCATGGACAATGCCGTTCTTGGCTAACTTCTTAGATAAGATTTACAGAGTAACTACTATCAGTGAGAGCTCAAGCTATTGCACCAGTAAGAATATGATGACAACCCAGGGTGAATGGTAGGGTGGTAGGGCTATGTGCTCACCTAATCTTCCTGGATTGGGAGCACATCCACCCTTGGCATCTCTCACTTAGGTCATTTTATCCAGAGAGAAAAACGGATGGGTCCACAGCCAAACTCAGAGCGTGAGTTCTCAGTCCCAAGAGGTTTGCTGCAAATGTCAGAGGCAGATCCCTTTACACCCAGCAGCTGTGGCAGAGGACATTCCGGGAGCAGCTGGAAGCTAGGTTTCTGCCGTGAATCAAAACTCACACACTGAGCAGCAGTGTGACAGAAACAAACTGTGTTCTTGAGTTTTGTTTGAGCTGTCACGTCAGTGACATCAACAATGCCTCTAGATGATGCTTGTGAAGCAACATATTATTTTGTGACTTTTTTTCTAGAATTTTCTGTTGTTTGCAGCTTGTAGATTTCTCACATTGTTTTTGCGTTTGTGTCTTCGCAATCAAGTTGACCTTCATCAAGCAAACATTGATTAAGACTTTTCATAATGCCCAAGATCTCCAGGCCTTTCAGGGGAAGATAAATTAGTGTTACATTGTATCCTTAGACCTCAAGAACCTGGCTGCTGTCCTGGCATCGCATGGCAGAGTCCTCACAAGAGTCTGCTAGGCGTACGAGCCTAGAGATTCACGTCACTGGTGAAGTGATTCATTTAACAAGGATTGCCTTCTGTTGATTATCAGCTTTGCAATCACTCTTCAGCTCTGGCTGACGAAGTCCTGTTCCCACCTGTGGATCTCTGCTAATTCTATGGATTATCTCTGTAACGGGGATATCAGTGCTTTCACCCCACCCCCGTGTATTTCAGTGAGTGTGAACTGCTTTGTTTTCTCTGTAGAAATTCTAGCACGACTGTTGCTGCAATCATTCACTCTTAAGTCTTGTAAGATTTCTAGGGAAGATTCCTAGGGTTTCCATCATAGACAGAAATGGAAACTGAGCTGACACAGTGACCTCAACTACAGAATACACAAAGAAATAAGGAGGAACGGCTGAGGCTGAGGTTAGGCTAACGGAGTTTTTGAAACTGATTGTTGACAACAGAGAACATTCAAATATTCCCTTGTAGCAACAGGAAAGTTAAACAAAAGTAAACGAACATTGGCCACGCAAACAAGTGATTGTACCGGAAATTTACCAACCTTGGCAACTAAAAATAAAATTATAGGGTAAATGTAACTACATATAGTAACCTTGCTTTTAATTATTTTAAGTGCAGGACAAAAAGAATCAGCCATGCTAGTTTTTCTTCTTAAAATTTATTTTTATTGTAAAGACAGATATAGAGAGAGCAGGAGAGACAAGGAGATTTTCCCATCCATTGGTTAACTCCCCAAATGGCTGCAGTAACGGGAGCTGAGACAATCCAAAGCCAGGGGCCAGGAGTTTCCTCCTGGACTCCCATGAAGGTGCATGGTTTCAGGCCTTGGGCTATACTCCACTGCTTTCCCAGGCCATAAGTAGGGAGCTGGATTGGAAGTTGAGCAGCCTGGGTATGAATCAATATCCATGTGGGATCTTGGCATTTGGAAGTAGGGGATCAGCCGACAAGCCACACTGTCTCCCATGTCAGTTTTCTAACAACTTACCTTCAGCCATGAGCACCTGAGTCTAAGTTGTACTTGGTTCATCGCCAACTGCAGAATGAAAAGCAGACACCAAACAGAAAATCCACTTTAGGAAATGCGTTGGACTCAATTATGGCTTCAACTTAGGAAAACGTTTTCTTCCTGTTTCAACCACTTCCTAAAGACACTGTAAGGATGTTGAGAAAGGAGTGGAGCTGTCACAATCACTATTGTCACCACTGATGCTTACCCATCCTAGCCCACCTGCTGGCTCTTTGACCTGCCTTTCCTAGTTTGTACATCAGAGCAGACATCAGATATCTCAAAGATTGGCTTGAAAAGGGACTTGATGAAATCGTGATGCCTTTCTCCTATGAAGGAGAATAAAGGTGGAGATCATTGTTTCTGGAATTTTTCAGTTTAAAATTAAGTCAGCCATTTTAACCTTCAGGGTGAATAGAAAAGAAGTCGACAGGTTAAACTACCAGTCCAGCTTGTGGGAAATACTATCTAAAATAAACACAGGGCACCCTCGACCTGTCTCTACCCACTCATTCCAAGAATATCCAGGGAGCAGTGGGCAGAGATGATGATTTTCTGTGCATTGCAGCACCATTAGAATAAGGAAACGTCCAATGCTTCCTGCCGCAAGCTAACTCATGACAGAGAACACCTCTAGGGGATTGAACACATTTCACTTGAATTCTCACCAGTGGTTTTCCTGTAACACTTACCAGAAAGCCACATTAATATCAACTTTTGCACAAATGATGATTCTAATAAATTAGCTTGCCAAAATTTATACAACGTTTAATTTTAATCATCAGGATTTATATATGGATTTCTTTCTCATTTTCACTCTAAACTTCATACCAATATCATAAATATTCCAATAGGATTCAGCCTGCACAGTTTCTCCAGCTTTGTTCTGTCCTAGTTGACTCAGACTACCTTGATAAAATGCCACACCTAGGGTAATTTACCGAAACAGGAAGTTACTTGCCCACAGCTCTGGAACTCAGACAGCCCTGATTGAGTTTCTGGTGAGGGATCCCTTGAAGGTTTGTGTGAGAACACCTTCCCCTCTTGCTGTTGCATCGTAGCCAGAAAAAGGGGTGGTGTTCTCTTTACCAAAGCCCTCTATCCTAACATTATAGGGTCAACCCCATATGACCTCATCTGGGACTGACTAATTGTATCCTTACAGACTTAATCACTATATGAAACAAGAGTGGACATTAGGCACTCCCCAGAGTCACTCTGGAGGGCGTGTGCCTAGTTCACTCAAGAATCTTGTACCTCTAGTTCGACTGTGTGCACTCATTGAGTCCTTTGTACTGTTATCATGATTCACGTGGTTCTCTTCCCTCTTCAAGTTCATGAAATTTCTAGACTTTACAGACAGTTCCTCAACACGAGCTGTCACACGCTATCTACAGATCTAGGAGAGCTCGCCTCACAGTTGAAGTACTGGGTTTATGCTAACGTCCATGGTCACCTCCTCAAAGGCGCTCACCAGACAGCCCACCTCAGACCCCCTGACATCACGTTAGTTTACTTTGCTAACAAAGCCCAAGCCCCTCTATTGGCATTCAGTAACCCGAGTCATGTGCCAATACTGCTTTCCAAGATCATCTTCTCCTTTTGAGAGAAGATTTCTCTCACATAATAGGAACTCTCTAATATGCACCTAAATGAGACCATGTACATTAATTTTTGCTAAACTTACTTCTCAGTTCTCTAGATGATTAAATGACAGTTATGCCTCTCAACTCACACCTGTCTGCCTGCCTTAGAAATTGCAGGTGTATTTTCCCTATGCCCAAGGTTAATGGACTCCCACATTCAAAGAGCAGACATTCTGTACTTTCACGCCCACATTATGAAGCACAGTCTCACACAGAATGAGCTACATCAAGATCTGATGACTTGAGTTGGCTGTGTTCTGAAAGCATCAAATTTCAGTTTAAAACAGCTCGACTCTTTCAGGCTTGAATGAAAGCCCCCGTCACTCTCTACCCGCACGGAATCATGATAGAAAGGGTGGACAGAAGCGGAAGCTGAGGGTGGAGACAGTCACCAGGAGCCCAAGGTTTTACGCTGTGTGACTGTAATCACAAGATATGAGATGAATATGGACATTAGGTGCAATGGTTAAGATGCTGCTTGGAATATTCACCTGCCCTGGCAGTGTGCCTGTGTTTGAGTCCTGGATCCACTCCCATTTCAGCATTCTTGCTTAGGCACACCCTGGAGGGAGCAAAGAATAACCCAAGTACTTGGGACCTTGCACCACCCCAGGAGGCCCCCAATCCTCCGGTTTCCAGCTCCAGTTTTTGTTGGCCCTAATCTGGCTATTTCAGGCATTTAGGGAGTGAAGCAGGCGATAGAAGATACTTATCTCTTTCTCTATCTTAAAAAGATATGGTGTATGTAAATACATAATAAACAACACAAATACAAATTATTATGCTTCTACTGTAACGTACGCTTCAGGAAAGTTTTCCAAGAGTGAGAGAATGGCCCCATTTGGACTCCTTGCATCCTGTTTAGAAGAATGTTGCTGTACCTCCAGTAATAAAAATTGAAAGATATTTTCTAAACTGAGTCTTTTAAGAGGGGCTCCTTGGGGATAGGACTTTGTTACGAGTCATCACATCCTGGAACCTTATGTGACATAAAGTAAGTGCTCAAAAATGTTTGCCAAATGAATGAATAATCTGAAGACTGTGTCCGGTAACATGAACCTTCCCATGAGAAACATAAAGCCCCATGCCACACATGTGCATCGCAGACACCAAAAACTGCTCATTCAGGCTCGTGCTCTGAACAGAGGCTTCAGTGGTGGACAGAGATTGCTGGAGAGAAGGAATAGGAAGATCTGTCATTCATGTACATGGGAATGCACAGTCTTCCTTTGTTAAGCTTAAGAAAGTACCCTCTATCTGTTAAGAATATGACAAATCCAGTTTCTTCTCTTTAGCGTTATACAGGATAGATCAGAAACAATGCTGACTCCAATTTTGACAGGACCCAGTCCCAACCGTCACGACTCCACAGGGGGGAGAAGTCTCCATGGCTTCTGTTTCTTCAACACCTTCTTCTTCTCCATCAAATGTTCTCTAAGTGGTGATTTCTCCTCAGACATGATGCTGTATTAAAAGTGGAAATAAACCTTGAATCCCTGTTACTTTTGTCACCACAAAGCAGTTTGTTACACGTATAATCATAGACTAGTTTTAGTGCTTTCTGTGATTCAATAAATCCATACGCTACTCTGTGTCCTGAGCTGATGTGATGATGGTGCCTAGCTCACATGGATGATGCAGTGCAAAGCGATGCTCCATCAGCAGCGCCTTCAGCATGGTGACCCTGAGTCATGTGCGTGGCTCTATGCAGTGTTTCCTCTTCAAGTCTATTAGATTTTCCACATTGTTGTCTTTTACCACCTGATAATGTAATAGCAATAATGGCACATAAATTTTAATGAACTAACCCCTTTGGCCAGGGACTTGGCTCACATTATCTCATTTGGTAGTTATATTAACCCTGAAAGTAAGCACACTTATGTTTTATTTCACAGGCAGTCGACATGTAGGAGAAGTAAGACACCAACCAGGAGCCATGAAAGAGAACTTGAGTCTCCTTATTTCAGTCTCAATGTGTTTTTTTCAACAAACTAGGCACTGCTTAACATGCATCTTTATGATGCTCACTTTGATATTCATTTCTGTTTATGTATTTTCTTGACTTGCTTGAGTCTTTCACCAGGTTGCACTGAAGAAATATATGGGAACAGGCTCTTTTCTTTGTGTCAGACTCTGAAAAACACCGGTCTCACCCCAACGTGGGCAGTGATGTCAGAACCTCCATGACCCAACAGGTATCCTGCTAGATGAAATGACAAGGTTCCAAAACCCATAAAGCAGCCAGGAGAAAGCCTGAGGTTAATGGAACAGCTGTTGGAAATGATGTGAATTTATCAACCTGAAGAAGACTGCCCTCAGCTAAGGAGGACTCACTCCTGGATAGCTTCTCCCTCACAGAACCTCAGTACTCCCACGATTTTCTTCTCTCATTTATTTTGTGAGTATGTCTACCATGGATACAAATAGGGGTACTATAGCAACATTTTCTCTTTCAACTCTGCTAGACCTTCATCTGAAGCCAGGCGTTCTGTTGTCTGTCTCATGGTGGATCTGCCTTATGAATCAGTCCGTGTTGTTTGTCTCCTGGTGGATCTGCCTTATGAATCAGTCCGTGTTGTTTGTCTCCTGGTGGATCTGCCTTATGAATCAGTCCGTGTTGTCAGTCTCATGGTGGATCTGCCTTATGAATCAGTCCATGTTGTCAGTCTCATGGTGGATCTGCCTTATGAATCAGTCCATGTTGTCAGTCTCATGGTAGATCTGCCTTATGAATCAGTCCGTGTTGTCAGTCTCATGGTGGATCTGCCTTATGAATCAGTCCATGTTGTCAGTCTCATGGTAGATCTGCCTTAGGAATCAGTCCGTGTTGTCAGTCTCATGGTGGATCTGCCTTATGAATCAGTCCGTGTTGTCAGTCTCATGGTGGATCTGCCTTATGAATCAGTCCATGTTGTCAGTCTCATGGTGGATCTGCCTTATGAATCAGTCCGTGTTGTCAGTCTCATGGTAGATCTGCCTTATGAATCAGTCCGTGTTGTCTGTCTCATGGTGGATCTGCCTTATGAATCAGTCCATGTTGTCAGTCTCATGGTAGATCTGCCTTATGAATCAGTCCATGTTGTCAGTCTCATGGTAGATCTGCCTTAGGAATCAGTCCATGTTGTCAGTCTCATGGTGGATCTGCCTTATGAATCAGTCCGTGTTGTCAGTCTCATGGTGGATCTGCCTTATGAATCAGTCCATGTTGTCAGTCTCATGGTAGATCTGCCTTAGGAATCAGTCCGTGTTGTCAGTCTCATGGTGGATCTGCCTTATGAATCAGTCCGTGTTGTCAGTCTCATGGTGGATCTGCCTTATGAATCAGTCCATGTTGTCAGTCTCATGGTGGATCTGCCTTATGAATCAGTCCGTGTTGTCAGTCTCATGGTGGATCTGCCTTATGAATCAGTCCGTGTTGTCAGTCTCATGGTGGATCTGCCTTATGAATCAGT